TTTTTTCTTTTTTTTTTTTTTTTTTTTTTCTTGGGGGGTGGAGGCAGTGTGGTCTGGACTCTCAGTAATAACTGTTCCTTTTTCCTAGACACCTCTGTATAGTTTTGTACTTCTTCAGATGATTCAGAATGGGTGAGAAAGGAATTGTAGCTGCCTATGAATTGCTGGGAGAAGTTGCACCATGGAAGCACTTGTGTTGCCCATCTATAAGAGGGGCTTTGATATGCTTCAGTAAACCTTTTCGTGATTGAAGCAAATCTATTTTTATTTTTTCAGGGTTTTTTTACTACTAAATTTGAGGTCTTAGTGTGTGAATTGAGTATAGCTTTAACTTTGTTCTTTGCATTTCAAGAATAAGTATTAATTCTTGGGGGTAGATCTGGCTTGCAGTTCCTTGTGTATTACAGCGCTTCCAGTGTTTCTGACCAACATCAGCATTCTGACCTTGGCTTAGCATCAGCTGATGCCTAGTGCTTAAGATAAAATGATCAAAACTTTGTTATCAAAGGAAGCACAGACATAGGCAAAATTAAGGATTATTGTAGGGGAGGTATGGGTTCTAAGGCTATGGTGATTGGGTTTGTAAGCACTCTTAACTTTTCTAAATTTTTTTTTAAGTGGGATACATACACAGATGGGTGAGTGCTGGGCACCTCTTCCCTGACTGGTCTCGTAGTTCAGATCTGTTCTACATGATGTGTTTCCTTCCAGCGTCTCTTTTCTCGATTTACTGTAAAGATTTTCTACCATCATGGATTCCAGGGAGGTATAAAGCTTCCATTCAGACTGAAACCCACCAAGCCGCTCAACCCACATGTGGTAAAACCTTTGCTACATCATCATTGCAGAATTGATTACGATTTGCTTCTGGTGACACGATAGCAAGGTAGCGCACGAGGAAGGAGCATGTGCACATCGTGGTGTCTCCTAATTGTTAAAATTAGTGTATGTTGTGTTCTTAGAAAGTGCTGACTCCTATGCATTTGGGGCTTCTTAACTTAATATTTTTATTGTTTCTTCCTGATGCATAGTATGGAGGATACCTTTTAAATGCTTGTCTGTTCATATTGAAGTCTTGGGGCACATTCAGCACAACTGAAGTAGGAAGAATATGCTGGTGTGTTTTTGGTTTTTTGTGGTTTTTTTTTTTTTTTTTTTTAAATTGCTTGTAGTATGTTAACTTCCACGAAAGCTACTATTGGAGACAGATTTTACTTTTGATGAAAACGTTGTGTGGCTGTGTGTAATAAACACGCAGAGTATGTATGTAGCAATTAATCAAGAGGTAGACTGTTAAGGAGTACTAGAGGCATAAAAAAGCCTAAGCTTTCTTTTATAACTTAATCTGTTCTGTAATCCTTTCTGTGAGAGATCTTCAAGTGAGAGGATCCTCAAAGGAATCCAATCAACTGGGGAAAATGGGAAGGGGGGGTGGCGGGAAGAAGGACGTGTCACTTTAAAGCGTTTTCCTTTAGGTTATTAAAAAAATTGGTTTTAATTAAAAATTTCAGATGCAAAATTATCTTGGTGGGAAGTACACTTGCATTAGTACAACAGATGTGTATAAAACACCAACAGAAAAAGGTAGTTGGTGGAATTGTGCATGTGTATCTGAAAATATATATCTTTCCCTTTAGTAGTCCAGCAGGGCCTCTTGCTCACATAAATATATTTTGTGTTGTTTTTTATTTCCCTTCAAAAGTTAGAAGTATATGGAAATGTCGTGTTGATGGGTATTTACAGGTGTCTCTCCTAAATTTTATTGAACAGCCTTTTAAAATCTAAGCTGTTTTGTATTAATGAAACTTTTAAAAAATCTTTTTATATACAGAGTTTTCCATCTGATGAGGGTTGGCCATTCGCAAAGTACTTAGGAGCGTGCGGAAGAATGGTGGCTGTCAATTACGTTGGAGAAGAGCTGTGGAGTTACTTTAATGCACCATGGGAGAAACGAGTGGATCTGGCCTGGCAATTAATGGAAATAGCTGAGCAGCTGACAAATAATGACTTTGAATTTGCACTCTACCTCCTTGATGTCAGCTTTGACAACTTTGCAGTTGGACCGAGAGACGGGAAAGTTATCATTGTAGATGCAGAAAATGTTCTGGTAGCAGACAAAAGGTTAATCAGACAGAGTAAGTCTCTTCTCTCTCTTTCCCCTCCCCTCCCCCCATGTCTCTTGCTTCTTTCTCTGCAAGCACAGTATTTAAAGTATGTGTAGTTGCTAAATACCCATTTTGTTGGCTTTATAACTAGACTACTAATTAACAAACTAATTAGCTTTCTTCTGCAAGTAGACTACTAATTAACTTGACCAATTTGTCAATTTTACGAAGTGTTGAGCTTACCTGAACTTGATTTACATATACTTTTAATCTCTGTAATCCTGTTTAAATGGAGAGGTAGGAGTGGGAGGAGAGGGTTGGACGTTGGACGGGTTTGTACAGATAGATGGACAGATAGACAGACGGGCTGACTGACTTGTCTACCTTAGCTAAGAGAGAGAGGTAGGTTCCTTTCGTCTTTTCCGGATGTCTGTAAGGACAGAAGTCTTGGCATTCTGTTTTCTGTGAATGACAAGACAGTCTTGCTGCCCGCTTCGCCTTAGTTACATGGCCTGCCTCTGGTTCAGTTGTTCAGGTAGGTGCTCTGTGATAATGGAACTGAAGGAATGAGTAATTTTAGTGCTGTTTCCAAATGGGAATAGTGAAAATTTGTTCATCTGTCAACTGTAAAAGCTCAAAGCAGTGGCAGCAGGAGAGATGTTTGACAAAGTGGCATTACATGGGTTTATATTCCTTTTGAGCTTATAAGGAAAACTTTACAGACCTAAGGGCTAGAGATGTTGAACACGAAACCCTAGATTCTGCCGAAGTTCGTGGCAGTAGGCCAAGTGATTCCAGTTTGCTTTGGGTGAATGGATTTTTTAAGCTTTGCAAATAGACTTCATATGCTTTGCTGCTGAATTAACTTTGAGACTATATTTTCTATCCACACACTTTTCTACATGGAAGTATGTTTTTTGGGTTTTGTTTTTTTTTGTGGTGTGGGGTTTTTGGTTTTGGTGGTTTTTGTTTGTTTTTTTAAAACAGATTTATTATATGTTCTCAAGCAGCTTAGATTAAAGTTATCTGAGCCTACTAAGAAAACCTTTTAATGTATTGGAAATCCAGTACATCTACTTCAGTACTTACGGGCCACACAAACTTTCTTTTTCTTTTTTTTTTTTTTTTCTTTTTTTTTTCCACCCTCTTAAAATAATATTACTTAAGACTGACTTTTGGAGCATGTCTGAATTGCTCAGTCACAAAGATGACCAAATGAACTCTGAAAAAGTTGATGTGTACACGGAATAGGAGCAAGTAGCATCTTGCAGAAGCTGAATGCTGAAAGGGTCACGCTTACATCTGTTGTCTACGATTCTCAGACTAATTTGGATCTAACTAGGATTTTGCTGCATGATTTGTAATCTAACAATTAATCAAGAACACAGAAAACAAATGAGGACACAAGAAAGTTCTGAGTCTTTGTATAAACTTGACATTTAATACTGATTTCATTAATCTCCTGGAAAGTGTCATTAAACAATCTCTGTCTAGAGTGATTAATATGCCTGTTTAGGTATTTGAATATGTACATTCTGTCCCATTGCACTGTACAGTAATATCTAGTTGCACTCTATGTGGGTATCATAGTTGAGTTTGCTGAAGTCCTTTTTTCCCGTTCTCCTTTGCTGTGGTTTTTTTTTTTTCCATTCGAGTTTGCTGGTAATTGTACAAATTTTACATCATATTTTTATATTTTTAGCAGTCATCCCTCAGTACACTTTTTTCCTAGTCTGGCTTGCAGTGCACCATAAATGAGTAGACCGATAGTCAGCTCAGTGACTACACAACACAGATAAATTTTTCTTTGTACATCACAGTGCTAAAAGAACTGAGACTCCATGGTAAGGACCTCTTCTCAAAGCTGGCAGTAATCTAGAAACTTAAGATGAAAGTTTTCTAAAAAAAAAAAAAAGTAATAACTCAGGAGATCTCGCACTTAGTAACCTTTTACATATTATTGTATAAGATATTTCCTATAAATCAGGTTTTAAGTTAAAGAAAGCTTTGTGACACGGCCACTAGTTACACCTTCAAATTTTGATAACCTTTTTAATATATATTAAAGAAGGGTTTATAATTGTACGTAAATGCCATTTGTTTTGTTGAATTTTTTTTTTTTTTCAAAGATTATATGTAATGCATCTGCTTTTTTATATGCATTTCTTGGTTACTACCATGTCTAAAGTAAGAGGTTGGAAGATAACGTTTCAGAAGTTTATGGCAATTACTTTGCAATGTGGTGGTTTGTTTTTTTTTCTTGTTTTGTTCTTTGGTAGACCACTTGCCAGTATTAGTTCCCAGGGCAACTGGAGAAACCAAATCTATGTTGCTAAAATAAATCATGTTGCTTGTTTGTTATTCTCTCCACTTCAGCTGTGAATCATTCTCTTGCACTTGTTTGTACTACATTTTTTTCCTCTGGATATGTGCATGACTGTAGATTTCATGCGTTTAGTGTGCTGTTTTTTCTGCTTCCCTCTCTTTGCTATCTATTTTACCCTCTTTCTTTCTTTCCCTTATTTTTCGTATTGCCAGGACCATTTCAGCAGAAGGGTATATCAAACTGTCAGATGCAATCTTAGACTAGAACATTTAAAAGTTCATCTAAACAGAGTTGGTTTATGGTTTAAATATCGGCAGTTTGCTGTGTATTGAGCTTCTGATTGTATTGAGACACACACATGCTCTTTCCTCCTCACTTTTTTTTTTTACTGTCTCCTTATATTTCACAGATAAACCTGAAAACTGGGATGTATGGTATGAAAGCAAATTTGATGACTGTGATAAAGAAGCTTGTCTGTCCTTCTCGAAAGAGATTCTTTGTGCTCGTGTCACTGTGGACCACAATTATTATGCTGTTTGTCAGAACCTTTTATCAAGACATGCCACGTGGCGTGGCACTTCTGGAGGACTACTTCATGACCCCCCAGCTGAAATTGCCAAAGATGGCCGACTCGAGGCCTTGCTGGATGAGTGTGCCAACCCAAAGAAGCGATACGGTAGATTCCAAGCCGCAAAAGAACTGCGTGAATACCTTGCACAATTGAGTAACAACGTGAGGTAGTCCACAGTGAAAATTTTTTGCAACACTGGCTAAAACACTATTGCAAAGACACATAGAAAGTGAAGTTTTGAACTTACGTATTAGAGAAAATTAAAAAAAAACAACCCTAGTTTATCAGTTTTCTAAATACCATAAAAATATAATTTTATGGTGTTATAATGTTCCTTTGCAAACAGAGAAGGTACTTAGTGAATTAAAACTTGAGCTACTATTGACTCTCCTCCCTAACTGTTTAAAAGGGAGTAGGTCAAAAAAGACTGTGATAGCTTAATTGACAGCTTGTGTGTCAAAGGGTACTTTACATAAAACTCCATTAGCGTCACAGTTTTGTGAAGCTGATGTTTTTACTTGGAAAGTCAAGTTAGACTTGATGGCCTGTTTTAAAGGCCTTTTTCCTGACATCATTGTCTCATTTTTGTGTTTGTTTAAACACCCTGAAGTGTCATTTACATACAGGTAAATCTAGTTGTCTGCATTGTTTCAAATTTAACGGGCTTTCATGTTAATGCTGTGCAGTACATTCCTACTGTGAGTGCAGGATTCCCATGTTTACTGTCTAATTTTAGGGGGGTTTACACTGTATTTTACTATGCTTAGACATTGTGTATTTTTATTTTTTTTTAAGATCATCATAAACTCAAATGTCATTTGAACTAACATTCATTTGATGTCTTTTGTAGTTCTGCCATTGGAAATATCACTTAATGTAATTATTGTACAAAACTTTTACCCTTCATGCCAGTATATACATATGACTGTTTAGCAGGAAATCGCGGTATGACCGAACTCTTATTTTTAACAGAGGTAATTTGAGAATTGGAGAGAGACTACAATAAAAAGATCTGTATTAATTTAAATTGGGGATAGAAGCTTGACTAAAAATAAAAATTAACTAGTCCAGTGTAGTTAAGCATAAACCAAAGAAAATGGTTTTGTTTAGTAGTTTCTAAACAAATAGTAAAGGAAAATCTTATACTGTAGTGAAGCTAATAATTCTCAAAATTCAAATTTCAGTGGTCCTTGGTTACTCTTTGACGAACTTCTAAAACTATGTGCTTATACAAGCAGAAAAACCTAATTTGAATAATAATGAATAATAATAATTTGAATAATAATAGTAATAATAGCCGTTTGTTTTACATCATTCCCAATTCTGTTGAATTCAAGTGTAACGGAGTTTACTAAAGGAAAATTACACTGTAGTGAAGCTAATAATTCTCAAAATTCGAATTTCAGTGGTCCTTGGTTACTCTCTGACAAACTTCTAAAACTATGTGCTTATACAAGCAGAAAAACCTAATTTGAATAATAATGAATAATAATAATTTGAATAATAATAGTAATAATAGCCGTTTGTTTTACATCATTCCCAATTCTGTTGAATTCAAGTGTAACGGAGTTTACTGAATATTCATCTTTTGGTTTACCAGCTAAAGTGAGGACTTGATGTAAGCAGGGCAGGAAGCAGACTCTTTATTTTTTAATTTATTTATTTATATTTTTTTTTTTACAACTACTATAATGCTTCATTTTCCTGAGGTCTTATTCATAAAAAGATATTCTTAGGAAATGTATGCGTATTACTTCTTGTAACAGTAATGAAGGAAACTAACATTTCTTAAATGCGTGTATAAACCAATATTTTGTACAAGCTAAAAAGAATTCTGAGCAAGGTAGTATGTGCTACTTTCAAGAGCAAAATTAGTATGCCTCTCATACTGCATCAAAAGCCTGATGGAAACTGTTGCTTTACCAAATTGCTGCAAGTGCAAGGTGAAGAAAATAGCGAACGCACTGACTGGCCCTTCTTTCTCAAAGCTCGAAAAATGGAGCCGTATAAAGATGCAGAGTGCTTTTTGATTTCTTAGATGACTATATTAAGGATACTTTAGAATTCGAAATTCTCACTTTGTCATCTTTGCCTGTGTAGTCCTCACTTGCTCCCAGTCCCTTGTCTCCTTTTCTGAAGTTAGAATGCCCAATGCAGCTTTTAGTTTTCATTTCTCCCCTCCCCGCATTTGAAAACTGTTTTACATGCTCGCTCTGGCACAAGCTGTCAGAGAAGTTTCATGTTATTTTTCATCATAAAATCCACTTATTTGAAGAAAATAGGCTAACCCTCAGACTAGGTAATACTACCCTAACTACCCTACCATAAAAGCCTTGACTCACTAAAGTTCATTTCTAAACATCTACCACGTTTCCCAATGAGCGACTGGAGTATGATTGTTAAAGTAGTAAAAGAAATAAACACTGCCAGTTCTGGTTACTACTCGAGGTGGTTCTGTAACTGTCAGAACGTCCTATCAGATTTGGTTTGGGGTTTAGTTCCCTCAGAAATAAGTTACTAAAGCCGATTATAAAAGGAATTTGGAACTTTAAAAAAAACTAAACCACTACAGGGAAAAAAAAATTGTGGAAAGCAATAAATCTTGTTCCGTTTGCACCTATCAGATGTTTATTGTACAATAACAATTTATATTTTTAGTCATTGCCCATTATTATTGATGAACACGGTGAAATATTTTTGAATGAGATGTTTGGGGTTTGTATGTGCATTACAATTGTCCTTTTGTACTGTAAGTTACTGTTTGATTGGAATATTTTATCAAAACTGTCTCCCTGTGCCTTTATATTACAAGAAAGTTGTTTCTGCAACTTCTAATGATATTAATAAAGAATACTTTAAGAACCTCATCTCAGATATTCATTTTCAGTTCAGTCTTTTAAGATTGACTTAGTCTAGGATGCATTAAAATAGACATAGAACTAGTTTTTGTAGTGTTGCAGAATGCACCGTCGTCAAAAGTGACCGACAGGAATTTTTTTCCCCCCTCCTTCTTTCTAGCAGACTGATCCAAAGTATGAATGATCTGTCAGGAATCTTTTTGTTTTGGAGATTATCATAAGTAGGATTCATTTTCTTAAAAACAACTTGATCAAGCCATATCTTTCTGTTCTGTTAACTGAAAGAAAATATTTTCAAATTAAACAAGTTTATATCTTCTCTCTTTGTTGTTTGAGAAACTTATTTTTCCTTGTATGTAGAGTCAGTTATATTACTAGTACCACTGTCTCTTCAGTACAGTATTCTAGCGGTTAATGTAATATAAATACATCATGACTTTTGATGTTTCTCCTTCACTCTGGATTTTTCAGTGAGCATGTGCATTTGAAACTAAGTCCTGCAGTTATACTAGAGGATATATTCCCTTCTGACTTTCTGAGCCTGTGTAAATAATAGGAACAACTGGTCTCAAAAACACTTGGATTTTTAAATTTTTTCAGTTGCACTCCTGCTGCCTCAACTTCCATCTCCAGGAACTGCAAACATGCAGATTGAAACTTGTAAACTTTCCAGCGTGCCTCTGAAGTCAAGGTTGTTACGGTCTTAACAAGAAACCAGCTACATCTTTTCTTTCAACAGTTTCCAGAGTATAGCATCGTCTGATCCTGGTTGCCTTGAACTTCAAGACGTGCTGTATCTGGTACTTTCTTACCAGGTGATTTTTTGTTGTGAGATACTCTCTTATGAGACACTTCAAATATGTTAAGCTTTGTACGCTGCTCTGATTTACCAGAAAGACTAGGTTAAATGCGATTTTTCTTTACATTTATTAGAGTGGAGACCTTGGCTACCTTTAAAAGGCACTTAAATGTTTTGGTTCTCTCCAGTCAGTCTAATGTTTTTGTAGAAACCAGCAATGGTGCTTTCGTGGGTTCCTGTTTTTCCATATGACGTGTCTGAATTCAGTACTAACTTCTAAGCTCTTTTGTTAGTTATCTATGTTGTTTGAAACCTGTGATTTGGAGATTAGGATAGGCTGGACTGCAAACCTCTGTGAAATGCACGTGTCTGGTGAGTATCAGAGAAAAGTTCTATTAGGGAAGTGTATTTCTTAATTTGAAGAGTTGGTGTGCAGCCTGCTTAAACCACTTTTGAAATTCCTCATGGTTTCTTTCTACCTCGCAGTCCTCCCAAGCCTTTAAAAAGCCAGTCCATCAAATGGAAACGTCATTAGTGTAGATTTCACCTACTTTTTTGGTTGAAGTTGCAATATACAGACCTGCTAATTTATTTGATAGCCTTCAGTTGACTAGTTCACTCATTATTAGCATCGCTGTTCTTTCTACTTTAAATGTCTGCCAGTCTTGTTTTCCGTTTCCTTACTTCCAGGTCATGTTCAAAGATGTACAACTAGTTTAAATAGACCTTTATCTCCTTCTAGTCTCATTTTAAGGTGTGTTAAAGAAATTTTTCCTGCGCTGATTTGTCATTTTTTTTAACGTGACTCTCCAGATCCGACAAGTGTCGGTTCGCCTGGGGTACTTCTAAGCATCAAATCTTTTTATATTTCATACTGAGTTTTGTGGACACGTTTCACTGTTCTTCCAGGCAAAAGTCTTTGGTAGTCTGGCTTGTGCTGTACGCTACGCGAATGAGCTCTTGCCAGATGCAGAGAGGCCCGGTGGCTGCTAGATGTCTTCGTAGAGTGTGCACGTGATGTTAGGACAATGAAGAGTCTGTTGTTTTGGCAGCAGATGAGTCTGTTGTTGCCACGCAGGAAGTATGAGAATATACCTGTTTTGTGTGGTTCAAAAGCTAGACAAATTTCAGGAGCGTTAGTAATGAACGTTTGCCACGAATACTGACTTGCATGTTCAGGTCAGAGCAGGAAAGTTCTGACTTTAAAAGAAAAAATATCTAAGGCTGTTTTTTCTATTTGGTGGGTAACTCCAGTCTTCTGAGAACAGAAATGTGAAAGCAGAATATACTTCAAAGCAAAATAGACTGTTTAATATACAGCTTGTGTTCAGATAGAAAAAAGAGCATTTTTTAGGTCAGAGTTTCAAATAGCTTGTCAAAGAATTTTAATACACATCTTTCTGTTCTGAACACGATGCTTTTGTACATGCTTAAGTTTTACTACGGATTCTAGCTTTTGATATTATTAATGGAGGCTTAGCGCATCCATTTAATGTGCCCTTGGTGTAACTACAGATTCCCAAATAGATGCCCTGTATCTTTTTAAAGGAATGGTGTTTTCAAAATTCAGCGCGTTTTTATTTTGTGCTTTTTTCCTCCAAAAATAATTCTGAAACTCCTCAAAATAGTTGAGCAGCTGATTTCATTGCTGCCAACCATTAACGCGGTTTAATTTTGACTTGAAAGTTCTCATCTTCTTTGGTTGTTCAGGCTGGGGTAGGAACGTCTGGTTTTCTGTAAAATCTAGCAGTTCTCAGTGTGTCACCTGGGCCTTAATAGATATTGTTTCCTTGCAAGAAAACTTACAGTTGTCTCTTTGTGGGGATTTTTGGCAGTTTCATATATTAAAAAATTTTCTTACTGTGGCAAATTAACTTGCGGTTTCACTGTGGGAAGAAGGGCCTACCTCCATCTGGAGAGAGCACGAAGAAATAACAGTCAGAATTCTGAGGAAATAAAAAATCAAGGGAATTCTTTGAACTCGCTGACTTAGTGCCTCTCGGTAGAAACTTAGTATACCAATAATGGGCCTAATTATTTCGCTTCTTGTAGAATATCAAGAGCAGTTCTAGTTGTTTATTTAGATACACTCATTTTAGAAGCTATACGTTGAAATGGTTGAGCTTAACGTGCTCGTGCTTGCTTTCCTAAGGGTAAATTTAGAGCTCTGGCAGAAAGCAGACGTAGTTGTCAACAACTTCTAAGAATTGCTCTCTTTAAGGGAGCTCTTCCTTTATCAACAGCCAGCACGCTCTGAATGAGCGGAGAATATTTGTATGGTGAATGCACAAAGTTACAGGAATGTGGCAAAGCAGACTTCGGGTTTTAGTTTCTTGAAACTCCTCTCCCGCTTGTTATCTAGTTCTTATATGGAGCATTAATCAATATACTTTAAAAAAAAAAAGTAGATTTCTCTTTTAATTTGCTTACTGTTTTATAAAAGTTGTACATGTGAACACTTTTTTTTTTAAAGTCTGGCAGCTGTCCCTTCATTTGTTTTAGAGGAACATCAGACTTGACCAAGGATGGAAAAACGTGTTTCTTTCTCAGACTGCAGCCTTACATTCTTTGACTTACATGCTTTTGACTGTGTTTGTTTTTGTTGGTGGTGATGTTTTGTTTAAAAACTTCCTGGTTTACAAAGGAGGAGAGGTTGACAGGGAAGATAAAACC